CAAGGATGGTGGAATGTGATGGACATCATTACCCCAAATACCTGCGTGAAGACAGAATGGTGCGACTGTACTTTGTGCACAACCAGAGACATGAAAAATTATGCTCTATTTGTATAGTATAAATTGAAATGAATTCTGCTCATACATAACAAATTATAATAAAAAACTGCTGAAAATAATTGCTAAATGCCTCCACTTCTTTAAACACACACTTTATATTTTAATTCCCTTGAAATGAAAATGTTTTCCATAGAATATAGTCCTTTAATCTTTGAATATAAAATGCAAAAATCAAATCAAAAAGTCCTGGATTCATTAACATATTCAAAAAAGAAGTAACATTTAAGTGACTTTAATTTGATTAGAAAAGTTAAAAGATTTAGAAAAACAAAGTTACTATAGTAAACACTGTAAAGTGGAATAGAGCATAGCCTTTGCTAACAAAGAGTTAACAAAGAGGACTTCTATGCTAGACACTGCCATTAGCAAGCAATTAACATTTTGAAGAGTTATCACCAAAAGGATTTTAGGTGCTTTCACCAAAGTGTGACACCTCAAACAGCCTTGTATTTTCAGCCATTCTCTATTTACACAGAAGAGGAAATCAAGGTAAACCATGAGAATTAATGTACTCAGAGAACCACAACGCAAATCAACTGCTTTAGATTCTAAATCTGAATTTTTTTTTCATTACACCTAAACTCATTGCCTTCAGATTTCAAATTGGATCAGTTACATGATTCCGTGGATCCCAGTCTTCTCACCTATGAGAATGAGAACAGCTGCCTGCAATCGGAGACCGAGGGAGAAGAATCCAAATTGCCTCTACAATTTAGGCAGACGATTTCATAAATTCTTTTTAAAGAGCTGGATTTAGTCAACAATACTGCAAAAATTTTAAAAACTGCCAAAAAATCGTAAAGATTAAAGTGAACGAGTTTGTAGATTATCTAGCACAACTGATCACATTTACAGGTACACTCAAAAAATTACAAAATCCTTTTAACCTAAGTGTCAGAGGCAGTGCTCCAAGACAGGTGTTTTCTTCTATATAGGACTTAAGTTTTTGAGGACAGGGATCTTTTGTTTATTCTTGTATCCCCTTCAGTGACATAACACTATGGAGTTAGAGAATATTATGCTAAGTGTAGTAAGCCAATCCAAAAAAAAAAAAATGCGAATGTTTTCTCTGATATGAGGATACGTTTTTTATCCCCTTATTCAGATTTTCTATTCCTGAATAATATGTAATTATTTGAATTTTTAAAAAGTTATCAGATGTATTTGTCTGACCCACCTCCTCATTCATAAAGTTCTCCTTAAGATAGTTTTCAACCTCAGGCCTCAAAGATATTTTAGGAAAAATAGGCATTTTTTCCCCCGTATTCAGTTCTCCAAGAGAAACGTTTTTTTCCGTCCCAATTACAGTGTGCAGTATCTTCACAATGAATAGCAACCCACAAAGTCCCGGGACCTTCAGGTGCTCGAGGAAATCGCGACGATCCTGCCGAGTAAAATTCCAAAACGAGGAGGACAGTCCTTGGTTTCCCGAGTGTTAGCTAAATTAAAAGCTGTTTCCTCGCCTCCACCACACCTGGCTTTGATCCTCCAGGTCGCTCGGGGAAGTCACTGAGAGGCCATGCCACTCACTTTGCAAAGACAACTAAGGAAAAAGCCTTAGTGACAAAATCAACAAAAAGAAAAAGAAAGAAAGAAAAACTGGAAACGAGGCTGTCAGTAGCAGCTCCTTTCAGCCTTATATCCTAATTTCCAAACCCGCGCCCCCAACTTCGCAGCGGAAACCCGCTTCCGGTCTGCGTCACTTCCGCCGTCAGCGGCACACCCCTCCCCTCTGACTACCCAATTGACAGCCGCAAATCTATTTTACGTCACGACTGCGGAGATGCAGGCGGCTCTTGCGCTTGTGACAAGACTTTTGGGGAGACTGCAGAGAGCGCTGCGTCCCACAAAAGATGTGTGGACTGGCATGGATCGAGTGGAAGACGTTCCTAACCTGAACAACGTTGGCAGGCCATAAGTGTTCTTCTGAGTGACCTCCAAGAATAGGATGAGGCCAGTTTATTTGACCGCATCAGCTCCCTCTGATTTCATGGAATTGTTTGCTAGGCAAGCGCCCCTCCACTGCTCGGAACCCCCATTACCCCCCCACCCTCCCGCATCTTGTTTTAAGATAGGGTCTCACTAAATTGACCGGGCTATCCTGTAATGGAGGCTACTCCTGCATCAGCTGTGATTACACGTGTGGAGAACCACGCCTAGCATCCTAGCACCTGCCTGCCTTATTGTGAATATCTTTCCCACCTGAGAATGGAACAGATTGGGGAAAAATAAAATTTTTGTTACTTACAAGTGTGGTGTTTATCAGGATTCTTGGGTGACCCATATCTCTGTAATTGTGAAGTATGTGACTTCTAGTGCTGGGCTTGATAGAGTTTAAATTACACTTTGTAACCACAGGAAAGTTTATAGTTTTGTGACTCATTTTCCTACTTGATATTGTTATTGAAAATTAAATTAGGTAAAATGCTTTAAACACTACTGAAGCAAAGTTAGACCTTAATAAATATTAGATAGTGTTATCCATGTATTTGAAGACCACTCAAGAGGGAAAAACTAAAGTCAAGTAAATTCTGATAGACCAGAACTAACTTTTCTATTTCAGGAGGAGTGAAGATAGCAAGTTTTAGGTGTTATGGAAATATGTGTAAGAGGTTCCAACCTAAGGAATGGGGGTTGTAGCAAAGGAAAGAGGGTTACAGTTGGTTTCTAACGAGGAGAGTACCTAGATAATTTGAGATTGGATCAGCTTTAAAAATCTGTGCACAGGCAATTTATGAGCCATAGTGACTGCTACTGATCAAGAAGAGAATCAGCAGATCCCTTGCAGACCACATGTATTCCCGTAAATGCTTTCATGCACCTGTTGAAGAGACGCATTTCCTAAATGTGGGAAGGCTGATCATATTTAGCTAGAAAATACAGAAGAAATGTTAATACTCATTGATTGGCTCATGACCAAAGTCACAGACCTAAGATGACTTAGATGTTTTGAAACTCAGGATATTATGGGTCCCCTTGGTGAACATAAAGAAACTTTGTTAGGTTTTTACTAACATACTCTTCCTACTGATAGGGAAGAAATATTAACTTTCTTTTGAATAACCTATATCATCTAAAAAGCATTTGTCTCTCTACAGACATTTATTAATGAAATTATATTGATTTCTTGGGCCATATGGCAAAAGAGAATTTCCTGATGGGAAATCTATCAATCCCAATTCATCTGAAAGCTGACCAACTGCACTAAAATCACAATAAACATTACCTTAAAGATTGAGGAGTTTTTCAAATTATTTTTTAAAGATTTATCCCTAGCTGGCAGAACACACTGTTTCTTGAACGCTTCCTTAAAGTCATGAGCAAATAGATCTGAGTAATAAATTGAATTCAATTCTAGCTGCAGCTGGTTCTTCCAAGTATTATCTGTAGTTTAAAATAGTTCTTTCTAAGAAATATTAGATGTAGTTTTTTTTTTTTTAAGTTCCTGGAGTTGGCCAATATTTTCCTTCATTGAAGTTTCAGTTTTGTTCTACGTATGCACTTGCACATTTTTTTCTTTTTTTTTTCTTTATTTTGTTGTACTTTGTAGAGATTTTACTGTAGTTCCCTTTTAATTCAATGAAGTAATTTACAATAACTAGTTAAGAAAAGTCATAATCCTAATGATAGTTTTGTTACCGCTGTTTACCAGTGAGGAGTCCTTGCTTCCCTGAATGCTGAAGTATAACACCAGAGAAGCACTTGAGGCAAGTGCAGAGTGGAGAGTAGAAGCTTTATTAAAGGACAGAAAAAAAAGACTTCTCTAGGAGGAAGAAGGGGACCCAAAAGGTGGAATCCGTAGAAGGGCGAGGTTTGAGGTCTTCCCTTTTTTATAGCTAAAGTCTTCTTTCAGCTTTCCCACACTCTTTTGTTTCCCTTTATCTTTCAGTGATAGAATATAGGTGGGAAGGCCTGAAAGGTGGGAGATAGGTGGACTGGAGGAGTAATCTGGACAAGAAGGGCCTGGGGCAGCTTTGATTAGCACCTCCTGGTTTGCTAACCTTACCTACCTATCTGTAAATCTGGCTTCAGTTTCATCAGGTTGTTTTCTATCAGGACTTTTCTGATTTTCTGTATTCAAAATATATTTATTTTCAAATAGTATTATTCCATAGAATTTGTTATCTCCTCTAGATCAAGGACCACACCAAAATTAGTTTTAAAGATTTTAAGGGGCAGGGGCTGGAGATGTGGCTCAAGCGGTAGCGCGCTCGCCTGGCATGCGTGCGGCCCGGGTTTGATCCTCAGCACCACATACCAACAAAGATGTTGTGTCTGCCGTGAACAAAAAAATAAATATTAAAAATTAAAAAAAAAAAAGATTTTAAGGGATTTTAAAAAATTCAGGGAGAAATTATGTTGCTAAGGGCTATTTTAAAAAATAGATTCTCACAATTCTCTACTTCAATTCTTTACAATTATTCCTACTACAATTTACAGTTGATAAAACATTCATTGTGAACTGAGGTGTGTTTTTTCTAACAACTCAGTATATCAGCATGATTTGTTTAGATAATATACAATACATTCTTTAAACCAATAATATTCAGTTTTTAGTTGGGGCCAGTTTTTCTTCCTTCCAGTTAGTAAAAATCTCAAATTTAAAAGTTTAAATAAAACTTTTTTGTTTCCTTGCTTTCTTTTTGTCCCCAGTGGTACCGGGGTTTGAACCCGGGAACATTATACCATAAACTAACTATCTATCTATCTATCTATCTATCTATCTATTTATTTATTAGTTACATCCCCAGCACTGAGACATGGGCACCTAGCAATTTGTGACAGGATAGCAAGTTCCAGGCCATGGATTCACTAAATTTCCCTGTCCGGCCTCAAATTTGCAATCATTCTGCCTCAGCTTCACATGTGGATGGGGATAAACACATGCCACTGCTTTGACCTATAACTAAAACTTTCCCAGGCCCCCTTGGAGTGTTTTATATTGAACCCAGGGCCTCAGACAGGCTAGGCAGCACTATACCACTGAGCCACATCCTCAAACCCTATAAATATAACTTTTTAAAATGAAAAAAAAATTTCTAATGTTAGAGCTATCCCATTACCAGGTTAACTGTTCATAGAAAAGGTGTTAAAAATCTAGGCATGGTGCTGTAAACCTGTATTCCCAGCCACTCTGGAGGCTGAGGCAAAAAGATCAAAAGTTTGAGAACAGCCTCAGCAATTTAGCAAGACCAAGTCTAAAACAAATAGGTTTCGGGTGTAACTGAATGGAAAAGTATCCAGGGGCTTAATAAACACAAATAACAAAAAAAAAAAAA